ACACACACACCCCCACAGCCTCCCCTCCTGCCCCAGTGTAGTACATTTGTTACAATGCCCGAACATGGACATGTGACTATCAACCAAGGTCCCAACCTTTCTTCACATCTCAAGTCTCACGATTCCCTCACTGACCCTCCAGGCCGGCCAGACCAGTTCACATTCTGTCCTGGGACATAGGAGGGACCTAGGAGGGGCTCCTGTCTCCAGGCCCCAGCCCCACGGGCCATTTCCTCAGTCGGGAAGACTGAGTGTTCTCCCTCGACTGGCCTCCAAGACCGAGCTCACCGTTAACTCTTTTGGGAAGGAATGTTTCTGACTTCACAAGGCCACAGTGCTCTCCGCCACCCTGTCACAGAGATGACCTCATAATTTACATCACGGCAGCAGAATCTGTTCCCAAGGGGGCTACCACCAAGCAGGTAAGACTGAGTTGAGAGTGTTAATTCTGAAATACTTATTAAACTTCAGTTAGACAAGTCGGCTAAGCACCAGTTAGCTTTACAGTTTTAGCCCATTAACCGTTATTTCTATACTGTAATCGAATCTTATTGCAACAAGAGGACTGAACCTAGTTCTGCCAATTTTAAACAATCCAACCAGCTGCCTGATACTCTGTGACTCTTTTCCCCTTAGAAAAGCCGAATATATAACAAATCACAAACTGAACTACCCTTTGCAAGCCGCAGGATTGAGAAAGACGGTTGCTTTCTTCACTTGTGCATTGGGCGGAATAAGTTGATTTCCAAACACCTAAAACAGAAAAAAGACAAGTTTTAAGTGAATGTCCTTTTATTGAGTTAGTGATCACATATATTCTCTCATTCCAAAAGGATTTACTTCCAGCACATATAGTGTCTACCTCTGTGGAAACAATGTTCTTTCATGATTTCATATTGGCACCACCACCATAAACAACTACATAAAATGCTCCATTATTTAATGAAAATAAGCTGAAATTTGTATTGTAGTAGAAAGCCTGCTTCGTTCATATATTAAAGGTAAGTAACTTTTCTTTTCTCCTAAGATCTGGCCAGGTTGTTGTTTTCTTTTTTTCCCCCCTTAACAGAAGCACTGGGGATTGAACCCTGGACCTCATGCATGCCAAGCAGGTGCTCTACCATGGAGCTATACCCCCCAACCCCATGGCTAGGTTTATTATAACCAGTAAGGCCATATTCTGTCACAAGGGAAGTTTAATTTGTCTTTAGTTTGCAGAATATAATCTTTTTTCCTTCAGCTTATCACTAAAGCTTATTCATGAAGGATCTTTGTGTTACCAATTAATATTCACATTTTTATACATGTGAAAAATCAATCTAATATTCTATTTGCCTCTTCTCCGCAATCTTGTATAACTAAACAGCATCAAATGATACAGGAAAAGAAGTGTAATTAATATTTACTAAGCACCTAGTATTTGCCGCTTCCACACATATTATTCTTGGTTCACAGAAATCAAGGAGGTATTCAACAGTCCCATTTTGATCGCTGAGAAAGCCAAGATTCAGAAAGATGAAGTCATTCAAAGTCAAAGCATTAATAAATTACAAGCCTAGAATTTATCTCTCTCTAACTCCAGAACCCAAACTTTGACTCCATCAGCTCTAAAGAGCAGATAAAGGATGAGGCAGAGTGAAGATGCACAGAGGACTAGATGTCGGGAGAAATAATGGGAGCTACTGCTGTTCCACCTGGATTGAAGAAGATGGTCAACAAAAAGAATGAGAATAGGAAAACACCGAAGAAAGCAAAATTTCAACTCTGGTGATGAGGAGCAGGTCTGGGCCAAGAAGGCAGCACTCAAGTACAGAAGCACAGAGTAAAGAGAGGAGAAGAATGAAAGTTATACCAAGATTTTTCTTAAGTGACTCCAACTCTACCCTCTCCCGACAGTCCACTGGGATCCCTTTCTCACCACTATTTCTTGCTTTAAAAACACTTCTATTTCTGAAGACTCCAGAAGGATGTACCATTTCTTTGTAAAAAGTTTCTGGTACATTGTTTCTACTCTGCTTTCAATCTTACTGAGTTAGACCTTAACATCTTGCTCCCAAATCTCTATATATTGTAATTTGTTCTTTTCCTAGCCATGTTATTTCTGGAATTCGGCCAGAAATGATTTCATTAACTTGCCAGATTCCAGACCTCCAGCTCCAGCTTATTCCTCCTGGTCCTGGGTGCTTAGCCTCCAGAATTCCCTCCCACCTGCAACTCAGGTCTCGGGTTGACAGTCGATTAAGGAGTTTTTATGAGATTACAATGAGGTGAGTTTATGTGAGATTTAAAAAAAATCATATTCTTTCAAGAATTTAGACTGAAAAGGGAAGGACACAGACAGGAAAAGTGACTAGAGGCAGGAGGCTATAAGGATGAAGTAACTCCCTTTCTCCAGCTGGAAGGAGCTAAGTGCGCACTGGGAAGTGGAGAATGAGAACTGCGGGAAGAGGTAAATGAATGCAAGAAAGGAAGTAACTCAAGGAACAGAGTCCCTGAAACAGTAAGAGGAGATGGAATTCAGAACAGGTGGAGGCATTCACTTTGCACAAGAAAGGGAGTAACACTGACCACTTTTCCTTCAATCCCCTCTCCAGAGGATTTTCCAGTTGTTCATGGAAAATTAGCTTGGGGTAAAGATCACCTCAAATTTAACATTAACATTTATTTGAGTTGATTTCCAGAACATCTTAGAGCCACATGGGATTAAAACAAATCAAAAAAGTAATCAAATTCTTAAAACACAGATTTAGAACAGTTAGAGGATCACCGAAGAGAGGAATTTGTTAATAGTAACTGTTGTCATTGTCATCCAGAAAAACATCTCAGAAACAAACATGAGGTCTGCCACCCATCTCTCTTACTAATTCATCATGCCTTGGTCATTTTTCATTTCACGTTTCTTCTCTGGTATTTCTGACATAAGCTTAAATGACATATAACAATAAGGCAACTCAGTCATGTCAATTCATCTGCAAGGTATAATGTACACATTTGGAGGGGAGGGAAGAACAAAAATGTGGCTTTGAACTTGAAAGGATTTACAATTCTACTGTAACTAATATGACTAGATGTATGAATATTTAAGTGCAATATCGTGGGACTGAGATTAACGCACAGGGTATGAATCAACTGCACTAAAGAGACCGGCTTTGAAAACATGAATCAATAGTTTTAAGAAGATTTGACTTTGAGAGGTAACACCTGCTCTGAACTGATATCCTTGGGGGTTGTCCGGATTAGGGGTGATTCGGGGTTTAGCCAGATCTTCAGGGACAACCACCAGAGCTCCCAGAGCTCCCATCAGTCCAGCCATGTGTTCTTAGGATTAATCCAAAAGCAAACAAGTCGAAAGGGGTGGGCGTTAGAACTGCTCTTCACCAGATGGCTAACTTCCTCAACTTCTATTCAGAGTTGGCTCTCCGCCTGATTCATCCCCTGATAGTGGGGGGAAAAATAGCCAAACTGCACTGATGCAGGGCGCTGTGCGAGTCCCCTGGAACAGCCCGAGTCTCTGCACAGTGGAGATAAGGCGGGTTTTCATTGTTTCACATGAAACGGCATTACCTGAGCTTCTTGACAGGCTGCTCTCCTTAGGAGGTTATCACTAGCAAAGTAAACAAAAGAGAATGAACATTAGCTTTATTAAGTAGGTTAAGAGCCAAACAAATAGTCGTCATTTTAAAAATATGTATAACACTTCCCTATAAAATACTCCAGTGAAAGTTTCCTAAAGATCTGTCACAAATCATGGGCACATTGGAAAAATAATGTCTCCGAATGTAATCCTGGGTTAACTGTTTCCATATGATGGGAGGCAGAATAACCCCCCTCCCCCTGAGATGTCCACATCCTAATCTCCAGAACCTGAGAACGTCACCTCGTGGCGGCAAAAGGGATTCTACAGATGTGATTAAGTCTGGAGACAGAGAGATAGCCCTGGATTATGCAGGTGGACCAAATGAATCACAGGGGTCCTTAACAGCAGAGAAACTTCAGTAGCAAATACGACCCATGCAAGGACGGTCAGAAAGATTCAACCTTGCTGGCTCTGAAGATGGAAGGAGGCCATAAGTTAAGGAATGTTAGTACCCTCTACGAACTGTTAAGGCAAGCAAGTGGGTTCTCCCCAGGGCCTCCAGAAGGAATCCTGTCCTTGCTGACACCTTGATTTTAGCCCAGTGAGACCTGTGTTGTCCCACTAACCCACAGAACTGTAAGATAATAAATTTGTGTTGTGTTAAACCACTGAGTCGGTGGCAATTTGTCAGGGCAGCAATAGAGAACTAATGCACATACCCTGCATTTTTCTTATCCAAGAGAAATTACTCAGGTCATTTGCCAGAAATAAATGTGATGTGTAGTCGCTCCTGCTAGTGCTTTATCTAAAGCTCTTATTTTCTTTGATATCATAGTCAGATGCTCAATTAGATCATAAATGGAAAGTCTGGGCATGAGGCAAAATTTTGGATGCAAAAGTGAAAATATTCTATCAGGATATGTTCGTCTATTTAGCATAAAGCTTTCTAAAATGTGTTTGTGCCACTTACTCCTTAAGAGCACTTGAAATGGCTCACTGCCTACAGGTTCCAGAACCTTCTCCTTGTGAGGCTATTCTAATGCATGCTGCTGGCGCTGCTAAGATCAAACCTTCAAGCTGGTTAGCAACAGTTAAGAAAACAAGTACCCAGAAAACATGACCCACAAACAATTTATAGAAAAGAATGAAAAGGAGAAAAGGGTTATTTCACTTAAATTTTGTGTCTAGACCCTTCTCATAACATCAAAGGCTTTGAATTTTGCATTTTTCCACTAATTCAAATCTAATTTTGATATTGAAGTTTGGACTAAAAAATTAAACAATGTTTTGCTTTTTTGCCAAAGTTGCAGTCCAAGACTAGAGATTGTCCTTCCACAGCCAGGCTGGAGGACGACCCCTGGATTTCACAGAGCTGTCACCTTCAATAAAAGCACTATCTAAGGGGAAGTATCTGTGCGGCCCACCTGAAGAGCAATGACAATGTCCCATTAAAATTATAACGACACCAGTACTGCGAAAGCACGTGCTGTTCTATTAGGAAGTCTGCAGGGGCACCCTCACCCGAGACGTCTAGCCCACGAGGCGCCTTTACTGTCAGGCTCAGTCCCCTTGCTTGAATGACACGGCCCCACTCCTACCGTGTGGCCAAAGGGATCCTACAAGCTCCTCGCCTCTCCTCCACCCGAGAGTCACAAAGATTCACGTTTGCTCATCTCTTCCCACGCCTCTCCACCAACTGCTCTCTGAGAATTATTCCAACATCAACAAGATACACACACACACACACACACAAGATAAGGTAAATTCAGGGTACAAACCAGTAAAATATTTTTAAATAATTAACATGTCAATGACCCTTTAGAGCTGACCGGATGCCTCACACCCAGGACCTTCTATCCAGTGATGAGGTAAATTACGGAGGCCTCAGTAACCACTAGAGCATAAAATAAAACTCAGTTCCTTGGAGTCACCGAGCATTGTCATTGGGTTCCCCTGGACTGGGTTAGTCCTCAGTTTAGCTCCCAGACTGCCCTGAGGTTACTACTTCCAGCCTCACATGACTGCCTTCCTCCAACCACTTGTTTTTCCCGTGGACAGAATGACCTGTGCCTCCAATCTCTTATCTTACAAAGCCACAATGCGGATTATCCTGCACAAATATATGCTTCCATAAAAGCTGAGTGCCTGTCTCTACATCCGTGCCCATTTCCCCCGGCCAGCTCCTCCTTCCACTACCGACAGGCCTCTGAAGGTGCCAGGCTCCTCTGGGTCATTAGGAAACACCACCTTCCTTCCTGCACTTGCGTCACACTGATGCCTGTGGACCCAAAGAAAACAGAAAAGAGCATAGCCCCAAACATACAAGCATATGGGTAGCACCTTGGATCACTTTTTCCTAAATTCTTTTTTGCTAGAGGTAAAATTTTGATGGTTAACGTGTGATTAAGTCTATCCTTAAAGATCTCAGCTCTCTTGAGCCCACTAATACTGCTTGATTTATCAGCATGTTATTCAAAATCAGAAGATTTTTCTGATAGTCAATTCCCTGGATTTTAATGTGCCAAATGGAATACGTATGCTGTCACAGCCACCTGTGAGAAAGCCAAGAGAGTACCGATTTAGAAACGACAAAAGAAATCCTCATTATAATCACACCTCATTTTTTTAAATATCAAAAATGGTATTAACCAACTGGATCATGCTCTCTGAACCAAACCGTTCCTAAAAATCAACGATATCCTCAAAGAAGAAAATGCTTCTGCCACTGACATATTCTGATGGTCTACAGCAAGCTCTGAAAACTATTTCAAAAAAGAAATTCCAAAAATGTTTTCTGTCATGTCAGCATTGCTGGAATAAAAAAGAAAATAACTTAAAATTCACAGAGCAACTACCTCATGCCAGATACTCTGCAGTTGTTTTCACAAACCTTTCATCTTTGTAACAACCTTGCAAGGCAGGCTTTATACTCTCATTTTACAGATGAGGAAGTTGAGGCTCAGAGAAAGAAACTGACTTGCCCAAGATTACAGTGTTATTAAGTGCTAGAGCTGGGTTTCAAACTCATACCAACCTAACCCCACAGTAAATGCTTTTTCTTCCTAATTTCAGACAATACTGAATGGGCAACACTCCTTCGGATGTATACTTTATAGCACATTTATTACATCTATCAAATTTCTTCCTAGTCTCATGTATTATAATTTTGAAAATTTACATTCACATAATGTTTTGCATAAGTTCAGGTGCAATAAAGCTCCCAAAAGTAATCGGTGGAACAAATCTGTTGAACATAAAATGCCGAGTACAGGACCATGAACAAGATTAGATCCTGACCTAAAGAAGTTTGGGATCCAGTGACAAAGAACGGCTCTTGGTAAATATCAGTGACATCGTAAAGGACGCGTTTCCTGATAAATAATATGCCAGGCACTGTGCTCGGTGTCTATGATATACTGGTGAATAGCCCAACACCCCCCGTCCTCATGAAGTTTACAGTTTAGAAAGGAAGAAAGACAATCTGACAGGCAACCTCAAGGTGGTTTGACTTTTACAAGCTCCACAAAAGGGACACAGAAGAGGGGTATTTAAGTTAGTCTAGAAGGAATTAGAGAAGACTTCTTATGGGAAGTGACGCCGAATTTGAGATCTAGGGGAGAAATGAAGGTAGCTAGGCAAAAATTAGGAGGAGAATGTAAGCTGAGGAAAGAGCAGGTGAAGAGCTTGCAAGTGAGAGGTGACAACCAAGGCAGGAAACGAAAGCAATCAGGACAGCTGCAGCAGCCTGCGGGGCGGGGCAGGGTACCGGCTAGGCCACCAAGAGCCTTTCCACCTATTTAAGGAATTTGGATTTTATCCTGAGGGACACAAGAAACCGTTAATGAGTTTTAAAATGGGCTGGACTTAACAGGGTAGAAGGGCTCTTCTGGTTGCAGCTTCAAGAAGGCAAAGGTCAAAGGTAAGACTGAATCCAGGGAGACCAGAGAGGGTTCTTCAGGAATGGAGGTCAGCGGTGATGAGGACTAGAACCAGGATGGCGGCAGTGAGGACGGAGAAAAGGCAGATTCAGCAGATATTTAGGAGGTAAGTGTTAGGCCCGGCTTGTGGGAATTTAAGGGAAGGGACGGCTCACAGATGGTGCCAGCATTTCTGCCTGAGCCTTCTGGTGGCAGGGAGTGGAAGGCGGTACCGTTCACAGGGATGGACGGCAGTCGGGGACACAGGCTGAGGAGAGAGGAGGCTGAGTCGTCTTGGATCAGCCAATCTGAGATGGCAGTGGAGAGTCCAGGCAGAAGCAGCCAGGGGACAGCTGAAAATACACATCTGGAACAGCAGGCAGTCATCTCGACTAAAGACACGCAAGGCAATGGGAGTGACCAGAGGGGATAAGATTCACTGTGAAAGCAGCAGCAGCAGGACAAGAGACCCGGCGCTCTGGGGCACTTGACAGAGAACACCAAGTGAATCTCAAGAAACTGAGACTGCGCCTCATTTGAAAGCCAGAGAGAAATGCGGTGGATTAGTGAGGAAAAGTTAAGCACCCTTTTCCTTATCTCCCATCACACCCTTGATGCTGCCTCTGCTCTAGACAAGCTGCATGTTTTGCTGCTCCTAAAAAAACACCATGAACTTTACTTTTCCCCTCTGAGGACTTGATCATTTTATCCTCTCACCCTTAAAAAAAAAAATAGAAGGCCTAGCAATACCACGCACGCCCTTACCCCACCACACACAACACTGCTTGTCCTATCTTTCTAAGCGTCTTGGAGTCATGGATAATTCACCGTCTTCTCTTCCACAGCACACAGCACAGGCTCGTACAGATAAAAGATACTCAATAAATAACCGTTAAATAAGTAAGTGGCAAATGTTTGAACAGGAGAGACTGACTCACTGCGCTCAGACAAGCAGACTTTGTCCTGGAGGTTAAACTGAAGGTTACTCTTCGTAGGGGTACCTGGCATTCTCGAATCAAGAGATCACCTGGGATGCTGCTTCAGTGTCTTTCCCACCACAGGGCAACAGGAGGACCCACTGCGGTTCAACACAGGTGAGGAGGGAGAACT